CCCCCCCCCATGTTTTACTAATAATAGTTCAAGAGTCAGTATGGTCTGGGACGGCCATAGTTATGTTGCAATATACTGTGAGGCGAACCAACTATAGGTCTTGTGGAACATCCCATCTCAACATTATGGGCCTTGTTGTGATTACGTTGACTGATTCAGCTCCTTTCCACACCAGATCTCCAGGAAATCAACCTGCAGGAGATGGTATGATGGGGTTCCCAAGTTGATTAGTATTCCTGGGAAGGCAACACTCACCACTGAGTGGGATCCAGTATAGAAGAGGGATGTTACCCTGTAAGGGAAAAGAAAGCAAAGTAAAAAGAAACCAAATCACAGTTAAATTATTGTGTTTAGTATGGCTACAAGTAAAATGCAATATCTGGATGAGGAAGAAAATACCACATGTTTCAGGTAATGGGAGATGAATGTGTTGGGTGTGGTCCACATGCCAGCTTAGAAGATTTCTTTTAAAGGATGACGTAGATGAGCAGCCATGAAAAAACCATTGGAAACCGGGACATAAGGACGCATAAGCCAACCTGATAAGTTGGCAAACCCAAGCTGGGAGGGTGGTGGATGAAATATTACTTTGAGAGGAAGAGTTTGAATAGATAAGCAAATGTGAACCACGAACGGAAGCTGTGTGGGCAATATAACATCTGAGAGCACACATAGCACATAGAAGTCTATCCAAATCAGAACAGGAATACAAATGGTAAATGGAAGGTAGGAAAATCAGTGTAAAAGAAATGTTGCCTTCACAAGCCACTGATATCTCAGATAGAAACTTTGAACTGGATACAAGAGAACATAGGTCTGGTGATAAAAACACATTATACATTGATGGCAAAAACATCTGACCAGCAATGAGCACAGGCAAAAAAGAGCAAGAAACAGAATTTGAGGGATAAATGGTACAGGTAACCAAGGTTTCAAATGGGGTTTGGGTAAGGGTGTGGAGAACAACAGTTCCAATCTGGGAATTTAGTATGAGGAGGGCAAAAGATCAGGAAAGAATTCAACCAAGGCAAAATGGTAGGAGAGGAAAACACCCTGCAGTAACAGGAAAAACTGAAAGTATTTGACAAGGCTGCTTAATTACCAGCAATGGTAGATAAGGAAGAACCATTGTAGAACAGCTAGGTAAAAAAAACTCAGGAGACATGAGGAATACTTGGATAGGAAGAAAGGTAATTATGGCACAGAAACCAATGCTGAAATATGCACCATTTTTTCTGATATACTGTAAGGGAAGAAGGTTGTACAGAATGGGAAATCATTGAAACTACACATCTGCAGATAGTCTAGACCACCTTGCAATGGATCAGACAAAGGCCACACATGAAGCTGGAGTGTGGCAATTGAGGGATTAAACACTGGTGACTGAGAAAGAATTGGGAAAGAGAAAATGCTAACAGAGGTACTGTCTGAAGTAGGGTAAAGACTGGAAACCAAGTTTGATCTGGCCAGAAAGGTGCTATTAAAAGAACATGTCACAGAATGGACTGGATGATAAATAAAACCCTGGTAAGGAGATGGATAGGAGGGTAAGCATACAGATAAAGGATGGTCCAATCCTGACTGAAGGCATCTACTGCCAAAGCCAAAGAATGAGGTAATAGGGACCAGAAAAAGGGCTAATTTGGTATTGAGATGGGTGGCAAATGTATCCAAACATGGGGTACCCCACTGATCACATAACCACTAGAAAACTTTGGAACTGAGGGACCACTCTGTGGGAAGGACTTTGTCAAGACAAGATCATTGATCCCCGACAAGATTCAACACACCCAGGACACGACACAATACTAAGTGTGTATGATATGAGTGGGCCCAGAACAGGAGTTTTAATGTTAGAAAACAAAGCAATCATGATTGGGTGCCACCTTGTCGATTGATATAAGAGACAACAGTCAAATTGTCGAAATGGATCACGATAAATTTGCCTCATATGAAAAGTAGGAATCAATCCAACGCCCGCTCCACAGATAGTAAGAAGCTCTAAGATGTTGATGTGCACTGCCATCTTGACTGAAGTCAGCAACCTAAAATTTCCTGAAAATCCATACTCATTCCCCCAACCCTTAAAAGAAGCATCTGTAAACAGATGCAACTCAAGTCATGAAGATGAAAGAGGAGTGTCCGCCATGGTGTTGTATCTGTCTAGCTACCATGGAAAATTGACTTGTGGTGAGGGAGGATGACTGATAATGGAATCCAAGAGATCCTGAACAATGTTCCATTGATCATGCAACAGCCACTGCAGAGTATGTATGTCAGCTCAACCCAAGGGTATAAGAGCTTCCAATGGAAACCTATGTCCCCTAAAGAGAGAGAAACTCATGCAGATAGTGTAGGAGAGGATTTGGCTTTGAGTAACAACTGTTCCATTGACAGTAGACAAAGCTGAAAAGGATATGCTTGACTGAGGAAGGAGTTGAAAATACTCCAAGATGGACAAGGTACTGTGTCAGGGAAAGGAAGGACTTCTGTAATTTGATGAGCTATCTCATTCAAGTTGCTTCTCAAAGAAGAGTTGGAGAGCAGCTTGTTGAGATGGAGCTAATAACAACAAATCATCCATGTGATGATGAAAGTGCAAACCTTGTGCATGAAGTAGTTGAGCAAAGGCTTTGGCTACCTGACAGAGAATGTAAAGTGCAGATGCCAGATTGATAAATACGACTCCCTTTGTACAAAACAAATGTAATGTCTGGATGAATGTGTAGGTAAGCATCTGAGACTCCTACCTTCATCATCCAAAGACCCAGAGTAAATGCCCACCACAGTGTGAGGAATGACTCCATGGTGAAAGAGGGAAGGTCAATGAACTGGTTGAGACGTGAGAGGTTGATTACTTTTTGCCAGTCCCCCATTTATTGGGGAATGATAAACAACCTGGAGTAAAACCCTGGAGAGGTTCTATAGCATCCTTAAGAAGGAGTGTCTGAACTGCATCGGAAAGATGTTGGCATGAAGTAGGATCCCGAGGAGGAGGGAAAGATATTGGGTCTGTGGACAAAGGAGGGGAGAATTGAGGAATTGAAGGGATAAACCTTCTGACAGTACCTGAATCACTCATGGATCCGATGTGAAATCTCACCAAATGTGCACGAACTTGACTAAGCATGACTTTGCCAGAACCCACACAATAGTCACTGTGGGTTTCGGCTGTGAATAATACAATAACACACCAACGAAACACAGGAAAGAGTAATGGATAAAGGGGTTGAAGGAGAAGGATGCGAAACAAGAATAGGAGTAGGTGAAGGCTGCAACAGTCAAGAGACCAAGGAAGAAATGGAGGAGTGGTGACAAGCAGCTCTACCCATGACTCCAATGAATCGGGTACATCTCCAAAAATTGACCTACATAAAGAAGGAGCCAGCCAAAGGTCTTGCAGGTAGGTCATGGGTAGATGACTACCACTTTAAAACTTTTCTGCACAAGTCACTGAGTTACATTGAAACTTTCATACTTAAAATTAAAATCACCTTGCACTCAAACTCTTAATAGTTTGAGTGCAAATAACTACAAAAACTAAATATATTCTAGTAGAGACACTTAATTAAAATAATGTCTCTCTTTGTGTACAAGATATTTATAATCTTTAACAAAATCTTACCAGTTTTATGAGGATACTTTAAGAAATTTCAGAGTTATAGTATGTATTGTTGCACAAGTGAAATTCCCACATTTGGGAATTTCTTGAGCAAAATGTAAAGAACCTAATATGCCAGGAAAAATGGAAAACACTTGAAAATTTATTGTGCAAACTGGAGAGGATCTAGGGTGTCAAGAAAATAATAGAGATTAGATGAAAATAAATTTTCTTTGCAATTGTAGAGTATCATTATGATCAAGTTTTATTTTGGACTACAAACAAACATACTAACATGTTTAAACTCATACTGATCTTTCCAATACAAGAAATTTGGTAATTTTGCAAATAAAATTCAATAATCTAGTGAAAATAATATTCTATTACAAATTCTTAACAAATATAAATACATGGACTTTTTTTTTGTTGTAAATTAAAATTGAGTGATTACCTTGATTAACCACCTCATTACAGGTGAGATAAAGTGTGCATATCACAACCTTTTACAGTTATATTCAAAACTTCATTAAACTACTTTATTGTCAATGTATATGAAAAACTTAGTATCAAAACATAGTTAATAAATCAAATTCTAATACTGTATAAGATTTAATTTGTTAATTCAAAAAGGAAATATTCAAATAAATCCTCAATCTCCTCTTGGATGAGAATTGCGACATTTGTTCTCTAGGTCTTGCTCATTTCTTAATGAATTTACTACCTATCTCTGCTAGATTCCAAGCAGTAAGGTAAGACATTAGTGAACTCGAAATTTCATATTTTTTTGAGACCCAAATACAGCTCAATTACTAAGTTTTATAAATTATATGGAATTCTGTGGCATTAAGATAGTAATTTATGATTTTTGGTTATTTCAAAATGTATATATAAAACCTAAAACAATTTATATTTCACATCCTCCTTGTGTGAAATTTGACAAGGCTTAGCAACCTACAGCAAGCAGCAAATGTGTACAAAGTTCGTAACTAAACGAGATAATTATTTGCTACGCTTATTTACTTACTGTTCTATGTTTTAAGAAAAATAAGTTTAAGAATTTATTTGTAAATAGTAATGTATATACATATACTGTATTATAAATGAAATGCGACTGTATTTTACAAAATACTTGTCCACTAAAACACAGCCAAGACAGATCATTTTGTTAAGGCCAGTTTTATACTCTTGGATACAGTAACATGAGTGCACATGTGCCACATCATTTCAACTTCTGTAACATTAAGCAAGCATGGCTGAAAGGTCAATAAAATAAAAATAATAAATATACAAAGATGTATAATGTTATGAGATTTAAGCTACTTGGACTAAACATTTGTGTTTTCACATTATAATTCATAGTCACTCTAGAATGAAAAGAGCATAATTTATATCTAATTCCTAATTTTTTATGGTGGTTATGAGGTCAGTGAAATTGACCCAACCCTTACAGAGATACAGTAGTGAAAATAACATAAAATTTAAAGTTTTTCTAAAAAACGTTTGATAATTATCTAGAGGTTATAAAGATTTTGCATGTGAAATTTCAAAATTTTCTGATGCATTAAGGTATTTTTAATCTTAGAATTAAAATTACTTTCCAATTGGATAGTCAACATTAAAAAAAAAGGCATGAGAAAAACATTACATACGAAATGTTAAAAGTTAATAAAAAAAATCTGTTTTTTTGTGTACGAAAGCCTTTTAATGTTTACTGATAATATGCAAAATTTTGTAAAGATATGTTTACTAATTTGAAAGTTATAACATAAAAACTATAACAAGCACAAAATGGTTATGAGGTTGGTCCCTGGGAGAAAGCCAGTGCTCAGAAAATTAATTCAATAGGGTTACAACTCTTCAACATAATCAACAAATCAAAACTAATGTTTCTGATTATTACTACTTTCAACTATTCAAACTATACATCTTTTGTCAGAATAATCTATTAGTTGAATGCAATCAATTATAAAATTCCACTAATTGCCCAGCTCTATTGTCAATCTCTGAAATGCTTTACCTGTACTGGAATTGAAATCAAACACTTTCACCTGACAATCTAATCCCCCACTCCAAGCATGGACTGCATCCTGAAAAAGAGTAAATTTATATCTACTATATTTCTTGTAACATCACTAATATATACATCAAAGAAAACATACATCAGAAAGGTAGAAATGCACAATTACACTACAAAAACAGTATTATTAATAATAGACTAAATGACCTGTACACAATTAGAGTAAATACATAAAAAAAAAACAATTAAAAACCATTTTGAAAGTTAATAATAGCAGATTTTGGAAGTATTTAAATTAATTTTGAAACTAACTGTCAAAGTCTATGTCTGCCTGAAGATATGTAGATGTTTTCTCACTAAAGATACAATCTAGTAGTAATTACTAAAGTACTTTTCTGTTTATGTTGTTGTTCAAAATGTGAATAAAACCTTACATTTATTAATATCAAAATGGTAGTCAATCAAGATATGAAGCCTTAACTCGAATGGCATATATATATAACTCATTTAGGAAAGAAATGAATTCAAACGTATCAGCTTTTCATTAGAAATCATATGTATGACTTACAGCCTGTAAAAAAACATTTTAATGCTTTCCTGACCATATGGGTGTCACTGATAACCTTTGATTTTTTTTTTCTTCTCATAGTGGAAATACCTAATCAAACTGCAAGAAACTTACAAACAATCTTTCATTTCAAATTGAATTGAGCATTGTAAATAAAAGAACTTTGAGATGATAATTAGAGAGAGAGAAGAGCCTGGAACAAGGCTAGTGCTAAACTCTTCAAGCATAAAATAGTAGTGTTTGTAATATTAAAATAATTTTATAAATTTCCATTGGGTACCTGGTGTTGTAATAGTTACATAAAATAATGTGCTACAGAATTCTTGCTAATAATAAGGTACAAAGTACAATTTGTTGTTGCAAGCCAACTGCCTCTCTTTGGTAAGTGGGATTGCACAACATTACTTGAACTTTGACCTGACAAACATGTTGCAATGGGACTCCACTACTGGTCAAAGCCCATGCTTTGGCCAGTACTATACTCCTCTAGAGTGCAAATAAAAAAATTAAATAACCCCCAGCAATACAGATATATACTTCCACACTTTGTATTTTTAGACTTCCTGAACAACAGTTACTTTAACACGTATGTCTACTATACAATTTGTATGTTCTAAAATATTTAGTATATAATATAAACATTATTTATATAATATTCTTATAACATTTACCTATAATACTCTAAATAATATTAAAATTTATTTATAATATTTCACATCAAATATATAATATGTATGGCCTAATACTTAATATATAACATGTGAATTAGAGAAGGCAGGAATTTTGACTTGATAAATTCCTTTCATCTAAAATGTTAAAAGGACTGATACTACTTGAAGAGATTACTGAGGGAGAAGAGCCAGTGTGACACTCCTCAAAGTACATACTAGTAACAGAATATCATTAAAATAATCTTATTTACATTGGATACGTGTTGTTATAACAACAAAAAGATACACAATAACAAATAACAAAAACATAAAAACTAAAACTGGTTGCTGCCAGTTTCTGGTTGATGTTCAGAATTAGAAGAGGCACCATGCTACCCGAACCATGCACTAACAAATGTGCTGAGATAGGATGCCATAATTAAAGGGAGGAGAGCCTGTGTTTTGGTTGGTGTTAAATGCCTCTAGCATTTAAATCAAATCAAACCACAGAACAAACTTACTAAATAGTATCTACATTTTGTTTTATAAAATTCATATAATTTTATTTTGTTTATTTGTTGTTAAGTACAAAGCTACACAACGGACTGTGATCTGCCCACTACAAATAACAAAACCCAAGTTTTAGCTTTATAAGCCTTCATACTTACTGCTGACTTGAATTAGTTTTCTTCTGTAACTTTTTATTTTATGAAAATCCAAAACTTTGTTGCAAAGCATATAGCTGAGTAATTAGTGGGATTAGCTCATCAATTAACTTTTGGGCTCATTAATCTATTACATTAAATTGATTATTCTCACATGAGATGGCTAAAAACAAACAGAAAACTTATAACGCTCAAACTTATTATTTGAAGTAGGCAAAGTACAAATAGCCAATTATATAGCTTTCTTTTTAACAACATACAAATATGACATCAATATTTTGATTTACTTGGATAGTTGTAATAATTGAAAATAGTACTAATTGGAAACACTAATTTTGATTAGTTGTTTATTTTCATGAGTCTTGACACTAATCACTTAAACTTAACAAACCTGAGTTATTGAAAACACTAACAATCAAAATACTAATTTTGATTACTGGATAATTGGAACAATCATAAACAGTAATAACTGAAAAACTAGTTGATTTTTTTATGACATTGACTGACTTAATCATAATTTCAATTAATCAATTATTTTATGCAACACTAATCAATGTGTCAGAATTTAAGATAAAGTATATATATAACTTTCCTTTTTGCCAGCACACACTTCACTTGTTTTCAAATTAATATATATATTCAAAATAAGTTAATGCATGTAAATAAATTCTTCAACACTATAGATATTATGAGCATATCATAAATACTTTATATATGTAGTTCTCTCTTTCTTTGGTCTTCTTTCTTCTGAAGATCCTATGTTCCTTTTGTCAAAGTGCACTCAGGCTGATTCAATTACTTTAGAACCACGCTTTGATGGAAAAAAATTATTTTTCTTATCTTTTTTTCTACTGTTAGCTTCACTCTAACATATTAAACATTAGGCCTATGTCAATTGTTAGGCCTGTCACTTCTACGGTACTTAACTTCACATCAACTTTATTCTCTTTTGCTATTATCTGTCTGCTTCTGTCTGTTTGCTTCCCGCTCATCTCGCACTATTTATATCTTTATCACTTAATCATCTGTCTGCCTTCCATATTCTTAATGTCAATATATTGCATGTGAACTTCGATATTCTCAACATCAATAAATTAACAAAACTTTCTACAATCATCTGCTTTTAACTCTTATTATGACAAAAACTAAACAATAATAAAATATTCACTCACAAAAATAAATTATTCAATAATAACTAAACCAAACAATTTTTTATATAATGACACAATGCTCATAGGTTTAGTTTGTTTTGAATTTTGTGCAAAGCTACATGAGGGCTATCTGCATTGGTTGTTCCTACTTTAGCAGTGATGGACTAAATGGAAGGCAGCTAGTGAATACCATCCACCACTAACTCTTGGGGTACTCTTTTACCAACAAATAGTGGGGCTGACCATCACATTATAATGCTCCCACAGCTGAAAGAGCGAGCATGTTCAGTGACAGGGATTTGATTGCAAGTCAAGTGCCCTAACCACCAGATCATACCAGGCTGCTCATAGGTAATTAATTATATCAACTGAGATAATTTCAAAACTCTAGCAAAACACTATTATGAAAAACATTTAAAATATTTCTTTGTGTGTATTATGATTTCACATTTTTTAACTGGTTGATTCAGAAAATGTCATTTTTATGTACAGTCAGTTTTAACTTGATTAATATTCATTAACACATTTCTTTTTATACTCCATTTTGCTAATTTTAGATGTCACCACTTCTGGTTATAGATTATGTGAAACAGGGTAAAAACTGACAAAAATTTATAAGTGACCACTTTAAAATATCATCACCATTATCTTTGTCAAGTGAGGTAACAATATTTTTTGTTAATGTAATTCTTGATCATTACTTTCCAAAATCAATAAATCTTAAAAATCTGAGCACAAGATGCTCAGTCACCTCAATATAAAATGAATATTTAAAAAACTTTTAATATAAAAAATCTCAAGTATGTCACTGAAGAAAGATAGAACAACTTTTTCTAAATATTTGTTTCTTAATTTTTTATTAAGTAGTTTAGGAAACAAAAGAATCATTTGTTGTAATCGAAAATTACGATTTTTTTTATCTTTTCATAAATAGTTTATTGAAAATTACTATGCTCTTAAACTTTTTATAAGTAGTTTAAGAAAAGTAACTGATCCTCTCATAACTATTGTATAAATGTCCTTTTTAAGACATGTTCAAGTAAAATTTTTAAAACTTTTCCAATAATTATATTTTATATTTAGTGAACACAATTTAATCAACTGACTTGCATTAATCTAGTCACTAGAATATACTGTTTGATATGCTTATGTCTTGCTATTTTGGGCTTTCACTCATGGTCAAGATAACATATGTACCGGATGAAAGTCACAAGGCTTTATCTGTTATTAAGTTATCACTGAGACTGATCCATGCAGCAAGACATTATGAATAATCAAGCTGACTTTATTTTTAATTACTTTAGCAGAGTTCGGCCATACATATTTCCTGTTTTTCATCTATTAAAATGTCAGAGCTCTAGAACTTCATATTCTACCTGTAAACAACAAACTGTATCAACCAGCCAGTTTGTTTTAATTGAATAGTGAAATAATAAGTTAACAAATGTAAAAATACATTTTGTTGTGTATCCAGCCTCATTATTTAACTTTTTCTGAAAAAATTTACCCTATCCTTGTTCCTACTATTTAGAAGTTTGACCTATGAATACCAAACACAATAAATCCAAAATCCAGATCTTTTCATACCTTGAAAAAGTGCCAAGGGAAACAGGTACCTTAACAGACAAATCACACAACCCTTTCTTTATGTCACTTCTTCAAAAACAAGCATCTGAAATTGCCTTACATAAACAATGTTGTAACTAAACAGTGTTTACCCAATGTAATTGTGACACACACACTTCAACCTTGCAGTCTTAAAAGTAAGGGAGAAATTACATATGTGATAAACTCCATCTAAACAGTTTGAGACATACTATACTTGGAGAAGAAGTTCTATTTTTAGAGATTGTTTAAACTAAATTTAGACTGGTGAGAAAATGTATTTAATCAGAAAGGATTACATGCAAAGATTTTGTAGAATGTAAAATGAAAACATTATTTTTGATCAAAAGTGTTTTGGTTGATGTATGGACTATAATCTTTTACAGTGACTTTAACATGCATCTGATAATTATGCACCTTATGGCAAAGTTATCAAACACATTACAGATAAAAAAAAAAAACAGTTGCCATGAGGTTATATTTAATTTGTATTACCAAGTTTTTGGAAGTGAGACAGTACTTATTTATCCCAGTTTTACACAACATACAGACAACAAGAGATCATTTGGTCCACCAATGTTGTCCTTGCTCACCCATCGTTAAGAAAAATAAAAATTTAAAACCACTCTATTTTTCAGGAAATCATTGAAAATCCTCTTTAAACTCTTGTAAAGTGCTGGCCTCCACTACTGATAACAACAACTTATGCCATAAGTCAACCACTCTGGTAGAAAATAAATCTGTCATAACAACAGCCTACCCTGGTTTTTTCAAATCTTAAACTTGTGTCATCTCATTCTATTATATTCAGAATATCACAATTAGAGGCCTTTATCTTAAAGATACTTCACATATTCTTGCAAACTTCTATAGGGCCACCTCTTATCCTTCTTTTCTGAAGACAAAAGTTAAAAGATCTTAACCTATCTCTGTTTAACTCTTCACTAGTCAGAATCATCCTTATAACACTACTCAAACCTTTTCAAATAAGTCAGTTCTCGACGAGAACAGGATGAGAACTAGCGTTAAGCAAATCCAGGGCCAGTAGAGAGCTAAGAGAAACAGTGTAAATAGTACAATCACTATTCTGCATGGCTTCTACATGATCCAGAGCAAGAGAAATAGCATACAACTCAGCAGTGAACACAGAAACTGTAGAGGAGATCCTGCGAGCAACTACCGAGCCACAGCAAACCATGGCACAGCCTACTCGCTGATAAACAATGCAGTTAGAAAGAGAGAGATACCGTCGGAAAGGTATCCCAGGCTTGTTTTTGAGCCTATCATTTCTCCTGGCAGGCAGGACTCCACCATTGACGAGGATACTGTGGAAAACGTGTCGAGGTGTTACGAATAAAATGAGCAGCTGCCTGGATGATATAGTCAGTCACTGTAACCACACAGTCCTCTATTGATGGCAGACAGACAAAGGCAGGATCAAGTTTGGAGAGACAGGTGAAAGATGGCCAGTCAGCTTGGTCCAACTTCCACCATGGCACTCGGGTTGGGTGGCATCAACCATGGCCAACCTCTACTCATAATGATAGGAAAATGATCACTGCCCCATGGTTCACTGTCGACCATCCAAGAAAAGTGAAGAGGAGCAAATCGAGAAATCGACGGCAGTAAAAGACT